ATGATGATGATGATGATGATGATGATGATGATGATGATGATGATGATGATGATGATGATGATGATGATGATAAGCGAACACAATTAGTGTAACGAGAAAACGTATCAACGAGAGAATAAAAATATATATACTATTTATTTTTGTCCGTTATCTTTATTGTCATTGAAGAATTGTAAATGAAACACAGGCACACCCTGTTTCGTACCTGTGACTTTTTCTATTTAATTATTTTCTTAATCTATCTGCTTGGATAGATTTTTTGTTGTTGTTGTAGAACTTTTTCATATCGAGAAAACTATGAAATACAAGTAAATATATGATTGGTTTAAATATTCTTATGGGGGGGTATCCTCTCTCGTTGGTTGACGTGCGTTGTTTGCGTAGACTAATTCGCACCCATTTCGTTCGTGCATCCTCTTTTTTTTTATTTACGTTTTGCTAATTATCGATAATTATAGAGATTTAAATGAACAAAACAAATTATAAGAAGAAGAAAAAGAGAAGAAAAAAAGAAAGAAAGAAAGAAAGAAAGAAAAATGATGAAAAAAAGATATTACGTATGTAATCGAGAAAGTGTAACCCATATAGGTAATACAATAATATTATATAATATACACATACAATTGTGATCGTGAGAGTATCTGTTACGAATAAACACAATTACAAATAAACTATGTGACTTTTTTCAAAGTTATAGAGGACTCGAGTGTACTTTCGTTTAGGAACTCATCCATCCCTCCATTTAAAATCCTTTCCTAAACTTTTCTTAATTTAACTACGCAATAACGTATTAGATGTAACAATTAATTCGGTGCTTCTTTATATTATTATTATTATTATTATTATTATTATTATTATTATTATTATTATTATTGTAAAATTCATTGAATCAAAATTGTCATATTTTGTTCATCAAGAAATTCAATAGTTGTCCGAAAGATGAACCGAAATCATCGAAAATCATGAAAACTATTTTGAATAATAACATACATATATATGATTAATTTATATATATATATATATAAACTAAATTTGTTTTTTAACGCACCGAATTAATTGCTATATCTAACATATTTTAAGTTTCTTATCATATATGATGATGTGTTCGATTAAATAGAGGATTCAATTTCTATTGCACAGTTATTCGTGGTGCAACTAACGTAATATATTTATTTATAATACAAATTCATATTTCGGACGAAGGAAAGTGTTATTATTTTTCCTTTTTCTTTATTTAAAATTTCAAAATTTCTTTTTTAATGATGAGGAACGAAAGTTTGAGAATTCGGAGGACAACCGGTCATCATACTTGTTGAGTTATCTTCCGTAGAACTGCACAACATTCCAACTAATGTATAGTCTACAAAAGGTGGGAGATCGATATCAGGGACGTCACTGTAACCGTTAAGTCCAGAATGATGTACGGGAGCTGTGTTCATCGTCATTTGAGGTAATCGAGTATCAAGAACCTCACACGTGTAATGACAACGATCGTTATTGGGATAGAAAAATGGTTCCGGACTGTTTTGAGGTTGTACAGAGGATTCGATCGTTGCGGTATCTGAAAAAAGTCTTTCGGTCACTTCAGGATTTGTTTCGTGCGTTCCATAAGCATTTTGAGATCTTTCCTCAAGAACCATGTGATTCGGCCTTGGATGAGATTGTCTAACAATAGGTTGATGATTTTTCGTGTTCGTGTCGTCAAATATTTGATAACCGTCGAAGGAATAAGGATGTCTGTTTTCGGATATGGGACTTCGATCGGAACGATCAGGATCAGTTAATGCCATATCATTTTTGGGTCTTTGATAAGTTCCGTAATTCGTTCTGTCGATCATGGTATTTTGATGACAGTCTTTGTTGAAACAATCAACGTCCCTCCTGGACGATAAAATGTTTTCTTTGTGTCCATCGAAACCAGGGAAATGAAGTCGATCATCCTGGTGAGGTTGAGTCCAATAAGGCTGATGATCCTGATCGTTCTTAATGCGATCGTTTGTAAAGGGTTTAGGAGTTTGCGTTCTATCGTATCCCGGAAAATTCAATGCATCTTCCAGAGAATGACCTTGATTTTGATCTTTTTCTGATACGTATTGATGTATAGTTTTTCTTGAGACAAATCCCGTATCTTTGTCTGTGTCAAAAGCAGGAAATTGAAGTCTTTCATCCTGTTGCATGCTAAGATGACTGCTGCTGGAATCTTCGCTCAAGAATTGGTTCCAATAAGTTTGTTCTTGATTGTGTTGTTTCACTTCATATTTGATAGTGCCACTTCCAAGGTCGAGTAAAGTGGGTGGAGACCTTGCTACGTCTTGGGAATTTACTGGAAAGTCTGGTCGCAGTGGTTGATCCAATTGAAAAATTTCTTCAGGTTGAAAGAGATCACTTGTAAATGATGGAAATTCTGGATAAGATGCTTCTTGAGGTATTTGATTTGGTAAACAATATCCTACGGTATTTTCTTGCATTGGTACTGTATCGGGTAACCAGTATGACTCAGTCGATGATGTTTGTTGATTATATATATTAGTTTGATGATGATGTGGTTGCTGATACGATGAAACGTTCGTTTGCATACCACACATGCATTCGAAAGGTGGACATGAACAGGAATATCCTAAAAAAGAAATAATATATATATATAATATATTATTTATAAGTTCTATAAGATGCTTAGAAATTTTGAAATAAAATGAAATTCGCGCTTTTATAACATTTGACCAATAACAGCGTTAGTAATTTAAAACGTGTAAATCGTCCAATCAATATGATCTGTTGCAACGATTGCGCCGCAATGTGGCCAATTTTGGTAGCTAAAAATAATTGGATCATTCAAATTTTTGTTCGTTTCGTTCGCGCTATATGCACCAAAATTTAACGCGAAAAAAGTTTGAAATTTGTTGTAAATATATTTGTATTTTAAGTAAAAAGTGTGACTATTTATTATTATTAGTGAATATAAAATTAAATAATTATTAACTATCTTTGAATAAGTTTCATACCTTTATCTGAGATCAATGGTGGTGGTGCTGTAGTTCTTGGAGGTTGTTCAGTAGATTCAGTATTCGATCTTTTTGTTCCTCTCAATGACATTAACTGCAAAATAGTGAAACAACGAAAGTTATTTCTTAATTCCAGTAATTCATCATTATTAAAAGAGGTTGAAAAGTAAGAAGGAATTCGTTGGACAAGTTAAATTCATCTATCCAAGTAAGATTTTACAATGTAATCAATTTTCTTTATTTTATAAATTAAACTGATAAAATATTTTGCTATATGAATGAATAAATAACTATCATGTTTTACTGTTTAGCATTATTTTAATATAATAATGTATATGTAGTATATTTATGAAGATTGTTGTCTAATTTTAAAAGAAGTTGTCTATTATCATAAAAGCAAATTATAAGTTGTTTGTACTTTTGTCACTAGATGGCGCTAACACTTCTTCTATATATAACAGATAGTATTTAATATACGCGATGAAATATATAGATAGAGATTTATATTTTATATTTTAATTGGAAATAATCAATAATGACAATTTATGTTTTTACAGTTAATTTAGATTTAGTTAATTTATTTTCTGTAGGTAACTACTTTAACGACCGGTAACAGAATTCTACTTGATCTTAACATCTACATCCGAGTGTCGGTAATGTAGTTATCTCTAATTAAAATCTTTAATATCAAAAGTTTTGTTGACATATATATATCAACAAATGATTTATTAATTGAAACAAACCTTGGAACCTAAAGCAGCTTCTCTTGCGAGTAAAACAGCCAATCCTCTGACTCTTTTACCAGCACCTACGCTTCTTCTAGCTTCGGAAGTGGATTTTGCTTCTGGTCGTGGATGATCGTGTTGTCCTTTAGCTTGAAAGAATATTGCGTGTTCGGTGTGTCGCCAAAAATGTGTAACAGGATAACCGCAATGTCCACGACAGGACAAAATTTCTAAACGGCCGGTGCATTGTCTGTTTGGGCAGGGTTTACCTTGTTGCTTTTTTCTAGCCTGAAAACATGATCCTAGGTTTAATACTAGCATGATTTTTTATTTTTTATTTGAAGAGTAAACACATATGAAATTCTGGGTGATATTATTTGTGTTGGGGGTTTTTTTTTTTAATATTTATTAGGTCTATTTGTTTTTTTTTTTTTTTTTTTAGCTAAGATGATAATAGTTTTGTAATATTTTAATTATTTAATTGTTTCATATTTCGAATGAACATGTGAACTATTAAAACCGATTAAAATGATTGATTAAAGTAAAGAAAATTAAAATTTGTTTCTTGTTTAATAACAAATATTTATTATTATACTATATATACTAAATATTTTTGTAAATATTACAAAAGTTTTATTTTATTGGAATTTTTTAGAGTTAAATTTCTAAAAATCTTAGAAATACTTTGTAGAGAATTAAGCCCATATTTTTTAACAATATTATTTTAATTCGAAATTAACATTGAATAAAAATTGTTTTTTGTTGCTTAATGTATTTTATTAGTAATCAATTATTTTAATAGATTTAGCAGAAATAAATATATGAGTCCATATTTTGTGCAAAGTTTTATATATTCATTTATTTTTATTTGGAGATATATAAAAGTTTACTGTAGAATTGATCAAAAAATATTATCAAATCTATAATAATAAAAATATTTTTTATCATTCAAAATAACAATAAATAAAATAATAAAAAAAGAATAAATTTTATTGGGCCGCAAGTGAACTTATACCACTTTAAAAATAAAAACAATTCATTACTTATAATTATTATAATAATTCTCTAATATTCTATTGCGCTAGATTTTATTTAGATTTGAATATAAGAATAGAATACTATCACCGTTAATTCCAAATTTGTAAAATCTTAAAATTACGAAAAATCGCGGGAAGACTTATAGCGTGTTGAATGAAGCAAGTTCGTAAAATACTTTTACTGATTTATCAGTAACCGCTTGGAAATATATCGTAGAGATCTCAAAAAGGTTCGTACCTTGTCGCAAATCGCCGGTCGGAGGTGTACCCTTCCGCCACCAGGCAATATGCATTCCTGAGAGCAGACCAAAACTCCGAGGCAAGACTTTTTCAGTATGCTGACGTTGTGATTGTTTGTATTTCTCATAGCCCAACCAGATGCATGCCTTCTTGCTTCTTCGCAATCCGGTCCATATACCCTTCTTACGTGGCCATCCGCCCATTCGCACCAAGGATCGTATTCCACGACCTAAAAGCGGTATTCGCGTCATTGATTTATGTTTTTACGTGCCCTCGTGGACAACTTTTCGTTCAAAGTTAATGTTCCAAAGTAATACAATAATAAAGAAGAAGAAAAAGAAGAAGGAGATCGAATTATTGGCTAATCGTAAGATATCAAATAAGTTTAGAAACAAAACTCAATAATATTCAATATAATTCAATCATTTAATCGTTTTTATCTAATTGTAAGTTCTCTGAGAAGATTGTTGATAATTATATAAGACTTTATTTGATTTTGTTAACCTTTCGTGTTACATGGATCGCATATTTAACTGAATTTTCTATTTAGGGTAATTTGAAATATTTTTTTTTCATATGTGTTAGAGTTTATATTACCCATGTAGCTTAAAAAATTAGGCAGGTATATGATGTGTTAACCCATTCACTGCAAACTACGAGAAACCTTGTTTGGTTGCATCAAGATTTTTGGATTTTATTTTATTCATTGGTGTATCAACTGCGAAATATTTTGTATGTTATTTTGAAAATCATTATAAATATCATTCAAGGATTATATTTAGATTAAATTAACGTTCTATTTAAATAAATTTAAAAATAAATTTAGCACCTAACGCAAAGTTTCCATAAATTTCTCGTCAGTGAAAGGGTTGAAGTATCACAATAATAAAAACATCATTAAAAGTAAAACTACTAAAACTGGTCAAAATGACTGGTTATAGTAATAAAATAAAGTGATTTTTTTTTATTATTACTATTTTCAAAATAAAAATTATCAAAAAATATGAATAATGATTTAATTTATTTGCATAACATATTTTTATCAATGATCAGTCATATGACTAATCTAACAGAATGTAATTGGATCACATTATACATGAACAGATCAAGTGTTAATTGAATAATTTTTATTAAACATTTAATCGTTAATTCTAATATTAAGAATATAAAAATTATATAATTACCCTTGGAACATTAGAATCATTGATATCCCATTCCTGATGGGGATGTTGTTGTTGCTGATTGCCGGCGACAGTCGCTGACATCGTCGGCGACCCAACGCGACTCCTGAAAAAATATCGATGAATATTTTATTATTACCATAAATATAACTTAGATTTATTCTATTGATGATTATTTTCTCTCTCTCTCTCTCTCTCTTTCTCTCTCCCTCTCTCTCTCTCTACATATATATTCTTTTTTTTTCACAAATTTTACAGACGAAGTCGATTTATTCGCATTGAAGATTTCCTTAGGTTCGCAGTAAAATCACATCACCCTTTGAAAATCTATTAGTAAATAAAAGGGGTAGGCGTCAAGGTAAAATCGACAATGGATACGAGCAACGCCTACCGATTGAACATTATATGAGTATATATACATATATATTCACTTATACAGATGCGTTGTTATTCAAAATTTAATTGACTCTAAGGTGAACGACAGTAAACGTCAGGTTTACACGTAAATGGAAGCTTGCCCTTGCCATTTCGTACATGGTTTCTGCAAAAGAATCACAATTTCATCGTTTTCTTTTTCTTTGGATCTATTACCACAACGATATATAATCGTAGATCATTTTATAAAAAGCAATAACCATCAGAGACTGGCCCTTTGGTATTTCGATAACAACGAGAAAAATCATTCTCCTTGAACGGTACAAATGAACGATTACAACCCCTCCCCTCTCCCAGCTCTCCCTCCCTGGTATTTTCATTCACAATAGCGATCCTAATTTTATAGTTCGTTTTCGAAACGCTTTACAAAATTATTACATTATCGTATGTTATATTTAATAGAATGATATTTCATTGATCGTGACGTTAGTTTTGATTTTCAAATTAATTTMTTTTATTTTATTTTTTTTCGAACAAGTACTCAAAATTCGACCTTGTTTCTTTAAAATGAGCATGTTATTTGTATCGTAAGAGTAGAAATTTGATGCACGTAGGTAGCAAAACATGTGACGCATAAAAATAATAAGAATTAAATTGTGGTACACAAGTATTAAGATGCGTTGACACCTGCAATCTTTATCTTCTCAGAGAACAGGACCGTAACTATGGAACGTTGTTGATCAGTGTGACAATCTTAGTGAAATAATAATAATAATAATAATGAAAAGAAGAAGAAGAAGAAGAAGAAGAAGAAGAGGAAGAAAATACGATGAGCAAAGAAATGGAAAAGGTTGAAGAGAAGGGGGGAGGTTAAAATAAAAAAAACTTGGCGAGACAAATCGTCGTGGTCGTGTGACCTTGAAGACCCTGAAATCGGAATCTCGTCGAATCGAAACTGAGAACCAATTTAGTGTTGCGCAATAGTCCGCGGCATTCGCCAGGAGAGCACGGCAGCCTCGAGATAAAATCCCGATTTATGGTACGTTCCTGGCAGTACCTTGTCCACCATAGTTATGGGAGCCCGTGGGTGGCCTGACAACGGGCACGCTCGCAGCCTCTCTTTCCGGAATCTTTCCTTCCTTCCTTCGTTCGTTCGTTCGTTCGTTTCAAACTCTTTTTACTGATATGTCTTTGCCAAACGAGCAGGAAAATACGTCGATAATACAAAACTGATTTGTTATCAAAAATATTAACTCGTTATAGAATGTTTTTTATTATGGGTTTTCTGATTTTTTTTTACGTTTACAAAGAAAAGAAAAATATTGTTTTAATTGGAAAAATTTAATTATTGTTTAATAAATAGAAAATTGTCGATATATTATTTATTAATTAAATTTTTTTACAAAGTTTTGGTAATTTGAATTAATTTTAAAATACCAATAGAGAAATTATTTGATGATTACAATTGATATTAATGTCATAAACGAGTTTATTACAAAAACCTGTCTTTTGATTTATGCGAGTTATCTGTTTCATGCAACTTCTTTTATTGCGAGCAATAAATATATATTTTTATAACAAATGAATCATTTTTCGAATTACACGGTATTTTTTATATTTATAATTTTTTACACGTGGAAAATATTGTTCTCATTTATACAAACTTTTTATATTACGTTTCAATTTAGTTTAGAAAATTAATTATCTTATATTTATTTTATATTAAAGATTAGGAGAGAAATGTTGCTAGGATTCAAAGATATTAGATATTAACAATTGTTTTTGAGAATGGTATTGAAATTAACAGTCGTAGTAATTGGTTATAATAAAAATGCAATATTTTATATTATAAACAGAAAAATAGAATTCTTATTCTTATTACAATTATTTTATCTGCTAAAATTACTGTTTTTGTTTTATACCTACCTTCGTTCTTTTTCTTTTCGAATCTTTATCTGTTATTTTCTTTTTTTCTTATATTACCTTTTACTCTTCTTGTCCTCCTATATATCTCTTGAATCTCTCAATTTATTTATGATGCTGTTATCTGCTCTAATTATGTTTGACAAATAGTCAGATACACAACTGATATTGTGATGTTAAATATAATTAATTAAATATAATTGATTGGTCTGATACTTCACTGATAAATAATTAATAAAATATACACGATATTTAAATTTGATTTAAGAAACGATTTGTCATTGATCAAGATAATTTTTCAACTACAGATGTAATTATTCGATTAGTATATGTCCATACCTTGAAGGTACAGAACATTATATCACATTTCCTTAATTTTAACGATGAGTAAATTGAACATTTTATTTACTTAACTGTATATTTCATTTTTATAGAAAAATTTGATCAGTAAATACCTTTTACATTTTATTTAGTATTATTTATTTCCAACAAATTTTATCTATGTTATTATTATGGGGTTGTATTCCTCTGAATAAAAATGAACTTGGTGTTCTTTAACTTAAAATATAGGATAGTTTTTATCGCAATTATTTTTTTATGTTTTATTGCTAATTTAGGGATTTATTATTTAAAGGTTATCTAGCTCTCTAGGTACTATAAGTCTTCAATAGATGGCTCTATATTACAATTCAATTATTTTGATATATTCACGTCGTACATTTTTTCAGGTTTTCATATGACATAACTAACCTTGCTTTTTATATTTTTTTGAGAATTATTATTTTATGTTTTCCATTATAATTGTGGTATTATTTTGTGCGTTGTTATAATTTACTAAATTGTTTAGAATTATATTAAGTCAACATTTTATAACAAAGCCACAGCAATGCGTGTCCGAAGCATCCTAGTATATATATATATATATTGAAATTTTCATATGGTTAACGTGTTATTCGTAGCGAGGTAACGTGTCAACGACACGAGAGCAATACCCATAGAAGAGATTGTAGTGAGACACCCACGTGCTCAACCTGCTGGCTAAGATTACAGACAGGAAGAAAAGCCGACTATTTCTTAATTCAGAATCAAAATAAGATGTGGTGGAGGATAAGCAAGGATCTTCATGTACGGTGCTAAATTTCTAAGTTAGATAAATGTTATTATTATTTTCCAAATAAGAACATATTATTTTTATTGAATTTTTCAAAGTATAATTAATATATTATTTATTATATTTTAATATATAATAAATTGACTGATTTTAGTACATTAATTTTTCTATCTAGCAATAATTTTTTGTATTTTTGTTCTTTTTATATTAAAAATAAGGTATACACAATAAATTATATAATTTTGCAGAAAATTATTTGATAAATAATTTCAAAAATTATACTCATAATTTTAATAATATTAAATAGATTTGACAATAATTGAATATATTAAAAAGTTGAAGTATCATAGAGTATTTTAAAAGAAAAGTTGTGATTTTTGTATAATTAAAATTTGTTCCTAATTTTATTAATTTTTGGTAAAAATGAAATGTTTTTCTTTTTGTTACTAGTCTTAGTCATCGATATTAAACTATTTGGTTAAAATATATTTGAATTTCTTTTCGTTTTCTTCATTTGGTCATTTCTCTTGCGATTTAAATATATTTGAAAAGAAGAAGAACCGTTTGTGGTACGGTTGTTCCGAAGCTTTTCACGTTCTCTACACCTACGGAGCGAGCTTGTAGGTATCTAAGTATGAATTACGTGTTACGTTTACTTTCCGTGGGTTTTATCGAGTCGCACACTTATTCGGATGTTTACGATCCTTGGACACCTACTCGTGAGGTGGTTTTTCTTTTCTCGTAAAAACGATCAGACCACTTCGCGTGCACGTTTTCGACTCATAAAATTTTGCTCAATCGCATTTTCAATGATATTTAAATACATTAAATATTATACCATACCATAATTCATTTTTAATCGTGATACTTTCTTCAATTCTATATCAGTATATTTTTGAATTAATATTGAAATTACTGTAAACTATTAATCTAATAATTTTCTGATATTTTTTCTAAGTACAACGACAAGAACCTTATGAACTTATTAACCTAAAAATTTATTAATTTCATAATGTAGATATAAAAGTCACATTTAATTATATTTCAAATAATTTACATATACAGTGAGTGTCTCTTAAAATTGTGCAACATTATGTTTATACAAGATTTTTGTTTGAAAATTATCGATAAATGTAGTTAGGATGAAGCAAATTTAGAAATAAATACATTAGTATATTTTAACTATATATTTTAATGAGCTTAATTTGAAACGTTTATTTATAACAGGTGAATTAAGCAAATATAAAAATAATGTACTGGAAACACTAGTACCTTAAAATAATACGTTAGTATAACTGTAATAATAAGGGGAATACCTGTTTTTTAGGAGAAGAATACGTTTAAAATCAATAGAGTAAGATTAATGCAAAATAACAATTCTTTAATAATTACATTTCAATTAATATACTTACAATACTAAACAATTTCAATCAGATATTTAATTATATGAAGATTTTTAACTCAAAATCATTACTAGTCAGGAACGTTAAAATAAATGTATTATATTTTAATTAAAAAAATTCGAAATATCAGTAAAGTATATTAAAATGTTAAATGTATACCTTAATTGATTAATAATAAATAAAAGAAAATAATTATTGCTGTCTAGAAACACGGAGTATGAGTTCAACGTGACATCCACCGTTAGACTGAAACTTTTTTTTTCACTTATCAAGATCGGTTAAATTTCTTTTATTGATTGTTGTTTATATGACTTTAAGAAGAATAAATTCTATTAATTATGTATATTTGTTTTCTTTATATATAAATGTAACCCCTTTTTGGGAAATCATATAAACAAGGATCAAAAAACATAAACATTAGAACTGGCTTTCATAAAGGACAAATAACCAGTCTAACGTTGGATTTCGAAGAGAACGGGTGCGTTTTACTTTTACTCTGTGTTTTTAGATTATAATACAAATTTCTTTCACTTAATTATCAATATTATCAATTATTTAAGGTATATAAAATATTCTAATATGCTTCTAATAATATTTTGAATTGTTTAGATTAAAATATACTTATTTTAACACTCCTCACCAATGATGATTTTAATTGAAAATTTGCATCTAATAAAATATCAGATAGAGATTGTTTAATATTCTAATTATATATATATATATATATATATAATTTTTGAAATAAATGTAATTTGTATTATTTTTACTTTAACTGGTATTAAACTAATATTGATATTAAAAATTTAAATAACAGTAAAAACAAAGAATAACATGTCGAAAAAACGGAGTATTCCTTCTATTTTTACGGTTATACAAACATGAACAATTTTAAGGTACAGGCTTTTTCTGTATATTATTTTCGTATTAAATTAAATGAAAAGTAAAATTATCAAATTAAACTTAATAAAAATATGTAATTAATATATAATAATGTATCTATTTCTAAATCATTTTCATTCTAAATTAAATATTAGAACAACATCAATAGTTTTCAAGCACAAATCTAGTAAAGAGTTACGTTTTACGATTTTAAGTAAAACTCATTGTATATACATCAACATTATTAATTACTATGATATCACTAGCTTCTCTTATCATGCAAATTTTTGATCAAATTTCTTTGATAAGGAAGAATGAAAAAGTATAATAACTATATACTCATTTTTGTTTACTATTCTATTATTTTAAAACAAGAGTAAAATGAAAAAGAGAAAGAATGAGAGAGAAAGAGAGAAAGTATGAGAGAGGGAGACAGAACAAGTAACATAGTGAGAGAGTGAGAGAGAGAGTCAGGCACGCGGGCGTTTACTATATGTTACGTCGACACCTTTGAGAAGAACGACGCGAGTAAGAGAGAAAGCCGTACTTGAGTAAGTAAAGAGTAAAAGAGATAGAAAGAAGAGTCGGCTTAGGTGAATGATTGCCCGGATCGGCGATAAAGTCATCGCCTTTAGCACCGAGTAAGATGATACATCGGCGGACGATGCTGCGTCGAGATTGTCCCAAGTCGAAGACGTAGGCATACTCAAAGTGAGACTGAAAGAGTGAAAAAAAGAAACATAAAAATAAAAATGAAAAACAAAAGAGAATGTGTTAATGTGTGTATGTGTGTGTGCGTGTGTGAGAGAGAGAGAGAGAGAAAGAGAGACGAAGAATAAAAGTCAGAAAGTGTGAAGAAAAAAATGGAAAAAGTTAGAACTAGAAAGTGAATTAGAAAGAAAGAGAGAAAGAGAGTGAGAGAAGGAATAAAAAACAGAAAGAGAGAAAGTGAAATAGATTAAAAGAGTACGAAAGTAAAAAAAGAGAAGAGAAAAATAGAAAAAGAAAGAAAAATTAAAAAATAGAAAGAGGAGGAAAGAAAAAGAGTGAGATTGTAAGAGGAAAAAAAAGCGCAAGGAAAAGAATACTGAAAGAGAGAGAAAGGAAGAAGAATAAGAGAAACAGAAAAATTAAATAGTTAGAGAGAGAGAGAGAGAGAGAGAGAGAAATAAGAATAAAGAAAGAGACAGTTAGAGAGAGAGAGAGAAACAGAAAAATGAGGTAGATTGAGAGCGACACCAAAACCGAGGTAGATAAATAAAGAAAAGAAACAAATAAAGAAACAGACAAAAAGAGAGAAAGAGAGAGAAACAGTGAAAACACCCCAAGAGAATATTTTTAAAGTTATCCTGAACTCGAAGAAAAAGGGAGAGAGAGAGAGAGAGAGAGAGAGAGAATGAAGGAAGAACTGTTGGTTCCTGTTGGTATGGGTGCATTCAGATATTAAGGGAGATACGAGACGCGGTGAAGCGATTAAATATCACGAAAGGTACCGATGAAAAGGAGAAAGAAATTTCTTTTTCTATCTCTTTCTATCTCTATGTCTCTTTTGCTTTATCTCTTTCCCTTTCTTTACGTTTTTTTCTTTTTTTGTTAACCCTTTATTTACCTTCTTCCTATCCAATCCTTTTCTTTCTTTTCTCTCACTCATTCTCTCTTTCTCTCTTTCTATCTCTATCTCTCTTTCTCTCTTTGTTTTTATTTTAATTCTTTTTCTCGTAAGGTCTTTTTAGATTCTGTGCCGCAGAATTTTGTATATATATATATCTTCTTTATATATAAAAATTCAGTGTCACATTTGTTGCTTTGCTATATTCTTTGAAACTACTCAACCTATCTTAATGAAATTTTTTCTTTTTTTTTTATGGGATTTTTTCCAACTTAGAATATAAAATAGTTTTTATCAAGATTATTTTTTATTTTGTATTGCTAATTTAAAGATTTATTATTTAGAGGTTATCTAAGTTTCTAGGTTCTGTAAGCTTTCAATAGATGGCTCTATATTACAATTCAATTATTTCGATATATTCCCGTCATCCGTTTTTTTTTCAGATTTATATATGGAATAACCTAACATTGTTTTTTTATATTTTTTCGAATATTATTACTTTATGTATTCCATTTTAATTTTGGTATGTTTTCGTGTGTACATTAAATAGTTTAGAATTATATGAAATCAAAGTTTTATAACAAACTCACATAAACGCTTGGCCAGATCATCCTAGTTTTTTTTATATAAAAATTGTGTGTCACATTTGTTTGTTTGATATGGACTACTCGAAACTACTCAACTGATCTTAATGACATTTTTTCTTTATTTCGTGTGATTTTTTCCAACTTAGAATGTAGGATAGTTTTTATCAAGATTATTTTTTATTTTGTATTGCTAATTTAAATATTTATTATTTAGAGGTTATATAAGTTTCTAGGTTCTGTAAGTTTTCAATAGATGACGGTGTATTACAATTCAATTAGTTTAATTTGTTTCACGTCACATCTTTTTGAAACAACTAACCTAACTTTCTGTATTTTTTACATATAATTTTATATATTATTAATTGGAATAAAAATAATGTTGTCAATCGTATTGTAGTAGAATAAATAATTATCTTATTCTGTTAATTCTAATTATCTAATATTTCTATAAGATATATTCTAATAAATATATCTTATTAGTATAATTATCTTATTCTGAATCATTATAAAATAATATAATCGTTAGACGAATAATTATTTGATCTTACGTCATAATTGTTATACAATGATTCATTCGAAAGAAAAAAATTAGTACACGGTAAATTGTCTGATCCAATTCGGATGTCCTATTAAATCGTTATAAAAGGGCTGGAACGACGTGAACGAGGTGAATCGTTTGCTCAAAGAGTTCCTCTTTTCGAAAGGACACAAAAAGAGAGAATGAGAAAGAAATACTCTCGAGATTCGAGATAAAAGAGGATCGTCTTACTCACGAACATTCATTTAAATCTGTCTTCTGGGGTGTTGGGTCGTGATCAATGGTGAGACTTTAAGTATATTCGTAATCGGTATTTTACGAATTCAAAAGACAAATCTTTCACTGTTTAATTTTTTTTGGTTAAATATTTTTTAAACAAAAATAATAACCTTAAAGCAATTATTTAACGTCATTTAAATAGGTATTACGACAATTCGAATTGAAATCAATTTTATAAAGTTTTATTCGTAAAAAAATATAATTTAGATCAGGTAATATATTTAAGAACGTTTATTAAATTGAATTCACTGCTGATAATATAAAAGAATATTAAATGAAGTTTGATTTTTATCGAAATATTCTTTAATTATGATAAAAATTATCGAACGTACGTGTACGCAATCTCAAAATTAATAAAGTTTAACGAAGGCTGTGCGCATGCACATAGGAAGCTTTCTATAGAAAACCGACCGACCAATCAGGTTACGTGATAACGCCCACACGCCAATGAGAAACCCGCAATACGCCCACTGATTAGATACCATGGAAATTCTCTCTTTTTTTTCGCGAAAAGAGATCGATGCTGACAATGGTTGACGTTTGCTTTTAAATCATCGATTTCGACCATAAATTCAATTTTCATAAATGTCATTATTGAATTAGCTAATGTCAAAAATAAATCTTTAAATTATTCAAAATAGAGGGAGAGAGTTTACTTGTCAGAAAAATTTGAACGTATAGTAATTCATACAAAAATGACATTTTTATTCAAAAAGTTCGTACCTCATTTATATATGTAAATCAAAATATAAAAACTTTTAAAATATTTTTTAAAAATCGTCAAAAGTTTAATTATATATTTACACTTTATCATACTTACAACACCACCATAGTCGAGGTTGTTTCGTAAATGATGTCGCAATGACCTTACAGAAAAATCTAATCAGATTGTTTACTCTTCTTCGTTGATATCGTTTGAAATTTGTTCATTCGATAGTTAATAAGAGACACTTCACTGACTGATAAACCAAAAGTATCATAGGAAAGATAAAACCACGATTTTCTTATGGTACTTAAATTTTTTTTTAAAACTACACCAGCGTATATTATAACCAATATATATTTATGTATATATCACAGTATCTACACAGTCTGATAAATTAAAAATACTTTTTTTTTTTTTTAAAACAAACAAAAAAATAAATCCTACGTATTTATATTATACGTATTTTCTATTCTTCTCGTTGACTTTATTCAGCGAATATAAATTAAATATATGTACATATATGTATATCTATACATATCTATATGTATCTATGTATCTATATATATATGTACATGTATTATATGTATATGTTTACACATATGTGTGTCGATGCGTACGACACGAAGTCACGTCGTGAACTGAATGTGCTTTTACATAGTTGAAACAGGCTAGGCTGGAGACAGGCAGCACGTTGCATACTCCAAGCTTCTCGAGAATCCACCTCAGTTGCCCTTTCTCTGACGAGTATATACGTAGCTCCGCCCATGGGTGGAGTTTAACTTAACCAATAAACGTCTGCTTACGTTTTCGAGTGTATCTAATCGTTGGTAGTACACCCCTCTCGACCTCTGCATCAATCGATCCTTTCGTACTCCTCCTACATCTCTCTTTTTCCTCACCTAAAAGAGGTCGCAACGTTGAGCTATCAAATTGTCTATAATATCGGTAAATTTCCTTTCTGTGTTGAGAGAGAATCTTCTTTCTTATAAAATCAAAATTTTCATTTAAATCGATTAATTCTTTGCAGCACAGAATTTTGAATAATAAACATAGCTCTGTGTTGCATAGAAATGTTATTGAGTTTTAAATGAAACAAAATTGGTATATTTTTATTAAATAGGGGTATTACATGATGTAAAAACATGAAGAAAAAAGAGTAATAATTTAATTACATTTGTTATATTCGTTGAAAATATTTCTACCATTTGTTTTACGTAAATAAGACGAAATATAAATTTAAGAGCATAACTGTTGCAATATATCGGGGTAAGACTAAAAATGTCCACCCGTGCCCTAAAGAGTTAAAAAAGTCACTATTATTGATCGTATCACACACATTTGTTTTTTTTGTTTTGGTTACTGTAATTGTTAATTTCAGAATACTTTTAAAAATTTAATAATTATAATTAATATACGTTTGACAGTTTTTTTTAATTTAAAACAACGAATTAAATTGATTGAAGAAAAAAATACGTATATTAATTATAATTATTAAAAATGTAATGATTAGACAATTTTTTTATTTAATACACTGGAATAAATTGATCGAAGAAAAAAATATGTTTCTAAAAATGTAATGTTTATTATGTTAGGTAAGTGAATATAAATATATGAGTTTAACATACATGGATATATTACATCACATATTTACGAGTTCGAAATAGGGTCGGGATGTCCCTTGTAAGTACCACCTACCTCCTACCTTTTCTTCATCCCTTCTGCCTCCCCCAACCCCAGGTACCCGCATTCAAGACAACGGCCCGTTACGCTTCGATCGAACCTGAACCCACGACGCAAACATATCCGTCGAGGTGAACACGTCCTCAAAATTGTCGGGTTCCTACGATTCTCGTTTAAAAAGAGAAATATATAGAGGATGGTTTATAGAATAGAAACTAACTCATCATTTCATGCTTTTAAGGAATAATATACGATTTTGATCTAAAAGATAAGAGATAATCAAATTGTGAAGTTCAATTTTTTATTTTGTTTTTATTAAAATTGTGCAACCCTTTTTCTTAATTTTAAAAATAAATTTTTTTTTGATCAAATATTATATAACTTTTTTTTACATTTTGAATTATACATGTGCATATAATGGATAGAAGAAATGTTAAAAATGATGATGAATTTTCATGTACATATGGAATTTTAAAATATTCTGAATATTTGCGTTTTTGTTAATGTAACAACGATGTTAACGTAATAACGTCTTAACGACGTGTTCCCTTAGTTCGCGTACACGTGCTTTTTGATATGATGGCACGTGTGCTCTTGATAACCCTAGCGTTACTTCCTACCACGTGCCCACAGGTGTGTTAAGACGATTATCAAATAGAATAGAAAATAGTACACAATTTTCTTTAGGAAAGAAAGTATTTAGACTGTTTTAAACTCGTTAACGAATTTACAGAATTCTCATGCATATCGTAAGAATTACAATTAATTCAAACGTTTTTTTATGCAGTTTCTACTTTTTTATTCGGATACATAATAATTTTCTGTAACACACTATATTTAAAACTATCGAATTTAGTTGAAATTTAATTAGCAATTTTATGATTTGTATGAATATCTTAAGAATTAAATTTAATTGAAATGTTTTTCATATATAATGTTAATTTTTATTTGGACACTGTAGAATAAAAAAAATACGGGACTTCATTTAAACAATTAATTTTCAAAATCTACAAACTTATTCTAAATTTTGTAATTAATGTTATGATTTTTATGCATATATTTTAAATTTTAAATTAATTTCAAACATTTCAAATGTATAATAATTTTTATTTTTATTCGACTGATATGGAAAACGCATAGGAATTTATTTATTACACAAAAATTTTAGGACTTTTAATCTAATTTTAAATTTAGTCACAAATTTTATGATCTTTATGAATATTTAAAAAATTAGATTCAATTGAAATATTATTATATAAAATTTCTATTTTATATTTCAAGACGGTTGAAAAAAATTACGAACTTTGTTCAACAGATCAAATTTTGAATTTTCATATTTATTTCAAGTTCAATAAATTAATTTCAGGATCATTCATTACATTTCTAAATTAAGCCTATACCAGTTTTATTATTATAGTGATATAATTAATAAAAATTCAGAATTTTATTCAATTTACCAATTTTTAAATTGCCAAATTTATTTCTAGTTCGTTAATACCATTTAAGAATCCCCAAAAATATTTTTAAAATTAGTCTTAACCCATTACTCGCCGATGGTCTTTTTTGGGACGCATTTAAAAATTTTTTTTTTAAGAATTGCAACTTTACAATGAAATATATTCGTTAAAATCATGAGATCGTACCTCTTGCGACATGAAAATATTAAAAATTCTCACTATTTTATTTTAAATAGATAATTAATGATATAAAATAATTCTTATATTTAAATATTGTAAAAATAAACAATCGTTACAAAATTGGTTCTATTTGATTAGTATGAATATTATTATACAGTTAATTTAATTTTTGTTTGCATTTTCATATTGTGGCGGGTAATGAGTTAATTAAAACATTTTCTATATTATTTTTATTTTTGTTTATTTTTCGAATATTGTAAAAAAATAAAGAATGTCTTCAACTGATTAATTGAAAACAAGTATTTAACATTAAGAAAGAAACTTAACTTCCAAAATAAGAAACAAAGAATTATACAATAAGAACTTTCTTGAACCAACTTATTTTAAAATTATTATTAAACTAATATCAATTTCAAAATCCTTCTGAGTATTTTCTCATATCAGACTATCAATTAAAACATTTTCTATAACATTACTATTTTTATTTGAGCAAAATAAAAAAAAAGCTTTCTTCAAACGACAAATTTAAAAACTTTCAAACAAGTATCTAACATTGTGTCAAAAAATTATTATTAAAAATAAGAAACAGAGAATTTTTACAATAACAACTTTCTTGAAACAACTAATTTTAAAATTAATATTACATTTAAATCAATTTCAAAATTCTCATGCGTATTTATAAATATCAGACTGTCAATTAAAACATTTCCTATACCATTACTATTTCTATTTGAGCAAAAATAAAAGAAGAAAAAAACAAAGAACTTTCTTCAACCGACCAATTTAAAAACTTTCAAACAAGTATCTAACGTTACGTCAGAAAATTAAGATTTAAGAGAAGAAACAGAGAGTTTAACACCAAACGGAAGTACTCATCCCTTGGTTCTTTCTTGGAGCTTTTAAACGTTCTAATAGTACATTGAAAGAAAGAGAGAGAGAGAGAGAGAGAGAGAGAGAGACATACACACAGACAAAAAGAGAAAGAGAAAGAGAGAAAGGGAGAGAGGAAGATGAGAAACGAGAGACTAGAAACTCGACAGTGGGGTTGTGAGAGAGAGAGAAAGAGAGAACACAGCAGAACAGTGTAGAGTAAAACAGAGAGAAAGAGAATATGAGAGAATGAGAAAGAGAGAGAGATAGAGATAGATAGATAGATAGAGTTGGAGGCTGTTTAAACACAGAGGGTGTGCAATCAGGAGTGTTTGCCGCCCCACGAGCGAGAAAGCAAGCGAGTGAGCGGATCAAAGGATAAACGCGAATGGGATGGGTGGCTGATAGTACGCTGATTTGATTGTTGGCTACGGCTATTGTCCCTGAAACTGGCCTATTGTACGACTCCGTGCCGGTACACTCTGGTTACTTGCACACAGGTACGTATATAATATACGTACTGGCGAGTACAGATTCTGTCACTGACACTATCTCTCTAACCGTTACCCTCTGACCCATGGGAGCCAACCATTCACCACCAACCACCACCACTGATCCTGCTAACCATCCTTCAGTTTCTACGCAATAAACTCGAAATCGTGCATTCGCTCTTTTACCTCTTGCATGGTAGTAAACGAAAGAAAATACGATTAAAAAAAAAACGAGAAAAATAATAATAATAATAATAATAATAAAAATAAAAACGCGGATATATATCGCGATTCTCTTTTATTGTTCTCAGCGACAATTATTGCGAAAAATATGGTGCAAAAAACGAGGGTTACTATTGTTTTCATGGTAGTCTCTTTTTGGTCTCGATATTTAATCTTTTTTATCTTTGTGCCAAATTTCATTCGCATCATCGGTTTTATCGTGGA